CCGCCCCTCCCTGGCCCCCAATGGTGCATTGGGTTAGAGTCATCCGCACTACCAGACATATCAGTGTGGCCAGGTGGAATACCCCCAGAGGCAGTGTTGGAGTCTGGCCCAAGTCCAGGGCTGGCACCCTGAGAACAAGGGTTCTGTCCACTGGGTCTCCCAAGGGCCCAGGGGCTCTGCTGGAGCTGTGGGTGGGGCTGTGCTTCTCCTGCTTAGGGATCCTTGATGTGGCTTGGCTTTCCCAGTGGAGAGCCCACTACCTGCAGCCGGTGTCTCCCACACTGCCCAGTATGCAGTAGGTACTTAGAAAATGTCTGGGGCAGAACCCACTTACCGCGTATGCTGGGTCCTATGCACCCATAACAGTGGCCAAGGGGTGGACAGAAAACTGAAGCCCAGGAGCTGGTCAGGGTTGAGCTAGCTTCTGGGAGGATGTGACAACTCCCATGGGGTCCCAGGACCCTGTCCTGTCTGTTCTGGTCCACCCTTCCCTGGGGACCTAGCTTTGCTCTCTTTGGGGATAGCATCAGGATGAGGGGACCTACAGGGTGAACTAGAGGAGGGCCATGGAGGGCCACACGGGGAGTCCAGGAGCAGGCAGCAAGGTATCAGCAGATGATGGTAGGATGATGGGAGAGGCTGTGTAGAAGTCTGGGAAGAATGTTCCCAGGCAGAGGACAGCTTGTACATGAGCCCTGAGATTGGTGTGAGCTGGGCCTGGGGTTGAGGGGGGGCATGGTAGGTGGGGGCTGTGGCTGGGAGTGACCAAGGTGGGCTAAGAGGGCTATTTAGAAAGATGGACACATGGTAGATGGATGCAAGGATGATAGATGACTGCGAGGTGAGAGATGAGAAACAGATGGCACAGATAGGTTGGCAGACAATAGAAGCTAGGCAGCTAGAGGTTGGTCTCAGTGGGTCATTCCAAGGTGAGGGGGTAAGTAGTGCCATGCCACCTAGAAGAGCAATCTCAGGCACTCTGTGTGTGTCCTTAGATACTGTGTTTAGTCTTGCAATGCTAAAAACATGGGCTGTGTCCTCTAAGTCCTCTTGGATCCACAGGCTTGCTCCATCAGGAGGTGCTGCAGGGTCTGCCGTGCCTACTGTTAGCCTCTGTGAACCTGGCCCAAGGAGAGGGCAAGAGCCACCATCTAGGTGAGGTGTGGGGCTGGGACAGAGGGGGGCCTGATTCTGGGGGTACTGAGACAGTGGCCATTTGCAACTGGACCCAAGATCATTCCCTCTTCCCATGTGTGCTGCACCCAGCTCACCCTTCCATTTCCCAAGGGCCTTCTCTTCCACCCTCATTTAATCAGGGTATAATTCCTGTCTGCCCACTGCATTATTGCTAGAAATCAGTGTGCCAGGGGCTTTCATATTTTCCTTCTCTTTCTCTCGAATACTCACTTTAGGAAAGCACCAACCCCAGATGTTATTGACCTGGCATGGCTGGAGGACACTTCACCACTAACCCAACACATCCTTGTCCTTCCAACCAGTGAGCTCATGGCTGGTTCTCCTACCAGCTGCCATGAGGCTGGTGTTAGGACAGTGTAATCTCCCCTACATGTGAGGCTGCAGCCTGGTCTGCTGAAACTGGCTGCACCGCACTCTTCCCCTTGGCACCCTCGCTTCTCTGCAGGGTGGCACTAGGACTTCCCCCATCAAATTAAGATTCAGGGTCCCATTGCCACTTAACCAGTGCTTCCCCAGACAGGCCCCAGCTGTGGGAGGGTTGATTTCCTTCATCACTCTGCTCCCTGAAAGGGGTCCCTATACTTGTACCAACCTTCCAGGTGAGAAGACCAAGGCTCTGAGCGATGGGATGTCCCCCAGCAGGCCTTAGTGATAGAATGTTGTGCCTCAGCACTCCACTTCCTTAGTACCCCTCAGGAGCTGGGGAAATAGAGATCACAAGAATCCTGCCCCCTCCCAGTGAGTGTCCAGGGCCCACCCATGGCCCTGCAGCTGGTCAGAACTAGGGTGTTTACAGATGTTTGAGAGGTACAAAGTGCACAAGGGCCTGGGGCAGCAGTGGCCCCTACGTCTTTGGAGTGGCTTGGGAACATTGGAAGAACTTCTGTGGGCCATCTGCAAAAGAGCAGCAGGTCCCTGTTTACAAGGGACCCCATGGGAACTGGAAACCATAACACATTAAAGTGGCATCAGCATCTCCCTCAAAACCCTGACCCTGCATTTGCAGAGTGTACAAATCTCTCCTGGGCCGGAACCCCAAATTGTGCAAGACCCTAGCTGCTTTTCCTAGCAGATGGGTGGCTCTAAGCCCATGAGCTCGTGTGTCCTCACTGGCCCCTGTGTCCTCACTGGCCTGTGATCCACCTGCTCCTGGGTTCAATAACAGGTCCCCTCCCACTCCACAACACCCCTCCCTCCTTGGTCCCATCATCCTCTCAACTCACCCCTCCCTTACCTACTCCTTCACACCACCCCTTTTCCTCATTCTCTCACACCCCTTCCCAACCAGTCACCAGCACTGGTTGACTACATGGTTGGCAGGGCAGGGCCCAGATGCCCTGCTGTCCTCCCTTGCTCTGGGTCCCAGCCTAGAAGGGGAGGCTTGTGGAGTGCTCACCAGGCAGGCAGCAACAGAGGGAGGGGGTTGGACTGGGGGTCAGGGAGCCACAGACATCAGCCCCAGGCTGAGTCATGTAGCATTGAGCCACAGGCAGCCAGGGCAGGAGAGGGTCTGAGGACAGCCTAGGCTCATGAACTGGCAGTCTGTGGGCTCAGGGAAGGGTGTCAGCGGTCCTGGAAGGCTGGCAGGCCCATGTCCAGGGACAGGTGTGGCCTACAGACCCCTCACTCACAGGATGGCCCTCTGCCCATGGCACCTGGGGAATCAGGGCCTCACAAGTGGTTTCAGGTAGGCCTGAGGAGGTGTGTCCTCCAATGTCTTACCTGGGACTAGCCCCAGAACCAGTTCAGGCCTCAGGCCAGTGGGCCTGCCTGTCTCTGGACATTTCCAGCCTTTAGATGATGCAAAAATAGAACTGTGGATCTCTCTCTCAGTCATGCCTGTTTGCGCCTTTTACCCTGTTATCTGTTACCTTTACCTAGGCATCTGCCACCTTTACCAAGTGTCTATCAGCTTTACCACCTGTTGTCTTTACCCAGGTGTTCCTGTCACCTTCAGTAAGTATATGTCACCTTTACCCAGGCACTCAGTGCACTTTCCAGCAAAGTGGTAAATTGCTAAAACTATTTCTGAGGGAAGGGTGCTTAACAGGGCCTTGCTATGCTGACCCCTGTCCCAGGAGTCCCAAAGCAAGGTTCCTACTGCACAGATGGACAAACTGAGGCTCAGGGACATGGAAGCATATCCTTGGCCCTGCAGCTCAAAGGAGTAAAAGGGTAACAAGGTCTGTGCCAGAGCCACCTCTCCTCTGGGGGTACAGGATATCCTGGTAGGTAGAACGGCTCTGAGGTTGTGGTTTCCCTTTGCCTGTTACCCTGGAATCTCTCTCTCTCTTTTTTTTTTTGAGATAGAGTCTCACTTTGTCACCTTCAGTAGAGTGCCATAGTGTCATAGCTCACAGCAACCTCAAACTCCTGGGCTTAAGTGATTCTCTTGCCTCAGCCTCCCAAGTAGCTGGGACTACAGGTGTCCTCCACAATGCCTGGCTATTTTTAGAGATAGGTTCTCGCTCTTTCTCAGGCTGGTCTCCAACTCCACAGCTTAAGCAATCCACCCACCTCAGCCACCCAGAGTGCTGGGATTGCAGGCATGCGCCATTGCGCCCCAACTCTGCCCTAGAATCTCTGATGGGGCAGCTTGAGAGCTGTAAGGAAGAGCTCCTTACTCCCGGACCCACTGTGTTCCCGCACTCACAAGCTCCATACCCAAGGAGCTTAGCCCTTGGATGAGATAAGCCCATCTGGGTCTGTCCCAAGACCCCTAGGCCAGTGTGACTTCCCCACAGTCAGGGCCAGCCTAGCACCATCAGGGCAGAGCACACTTCCCCATACCCAGTGGAAAATGTGAACTCACAATGATTCTGTGGTTGACCAATGTTTCTGTTTCCACCCAAAAAAAGGCTGTGAGGGAGGAACAGACTGGGGGAGGCAGCCCATCTTCAGATTCATGCATGTGAGTTTGTGCACACACGTGTGTGGCTATGCCCACATGCACGTCAGGAGGGTCATGTGAAGTGGAGGGTCATGTGAAGGGGACAGTGTGGGGAATGTCTGAGATGGGAGGGGACAGTGTGGGGACATCTGAGGTGGAAGTGGACAGTGTGGGGGACATCTGAGGTGGGAGGGACAGTGTGAGACATCTGAGGTGGGAGGGGACAGTGTGGGGAATGTCCGAGATGGAAGAGGATAGTGTGGGGCATGTTTGAGATGGGAGGAGACAGTGTGGGGGACATCTGAGGTGGGGAGGACAGTGTGGGATATCTGAGGTGGGAGGGGACAGTGTGGGGGATGTGTGAGGTGGAAGGGGATAGTGTGGGGCATGTCTAAGATGAGAGGGGACAGTGTGGGGGACAGTCTGAGATGAGAGGGACAGTGTGGGGAACGTCAGAGATGGGAGGGGATAGTGTGGGGCATGTCTGAGAGAGGACAGTGTGGGGGACATCTGAGGTGGTAGGGACAGTGTGAGAGGTCTGAGGTGGGAGGGGACAGTGTGGGGGATGTCTGAGGTAGGCAGGGACAGTGTGGAGAATGTCTGAGATGGGAGGGGATAGTGTGGGGCATGTTTGAGATAGGAGAAGACAGTGTGGGGGATATCTGAGGTGGGAGTGGACAGTGTGGGGGACGTCTGAACTGGGAATGGACAGTATGGGGGACATCTGAGATAGGAGGGGACAGTGTATAGGCGGTTGTCTGGGGCAGGTGAGCCAGGTGGAGGACATCCTGTCTTGGACTGTGCCAACAGTGGGGCTCAGGATGCCAGGAACACCCCTGGCTCAGTCCTTGCTGAAATAGCCATAGTCAGAATCATTTCAGAAAGCTTCCTAAGATAAAAGAGCAAGACAGGCTGAGAGAACTTGAACATTTAATATTATTAAGCACCTTTTAAGGTGAAGGTATGCTTCTTATACAAATTATAAATAATGAAAAATAAGCATTTAGAAAAAGAAGCTCTGGCCCCCTCGGTGGGCCAGCTGGGGGATTCTTTGGTTGAGCAGCAGGCAAAGCTGGGGGCTCTGGGTCCATCAGAGTCCCCCAAGATCATCTGCCAAGAAGGCCAGCAGGTAGCGGCTAACATGTCTGTCAATAATGACGGGCGAGAAGCCAAGGACGCGCCGGGCCCCGGGCAGCACTTTGGGGTCTGGAAGACACAGCAGAAGAAAAATGGAGAACCATCCCCAGGCTAAACTCTGCCCTTCCAGCCCCTGCTCCCTGGGAAGCTAGGCAGGTGGGGCACAGCACCTTCACTCCCCTCTTCTCATAGTCTTGGCGTTTAAGTTGAAAAAACAAGAATTAGGGCAGACTCTGATGCTTCCAACTCCCACCTGAGTGACTTAGGCCCTTCTAGACTTACAGCATGTGTTCCTAGTGACAAATTCAAGTATGATGGAAAAGGTGGGGCAGGGCAGGCCAGGCTGGGCAAGGCCCTCTGCTTATCAGGCCTGTGACACTCTGGATGGAAAGACCTGAGGCTCTAGGGGAGGCGACCTCTCAAGGGCCTCCACATGGCTCAAGGTCACAGGTGTGACAGATGCCTAGCTGTCCCCTTTCTCCTCCAAGGGTTGTTATTGTCTGACTCCCAGGGGCAGCAGGGACCACTGGAGGTTGGGGAACTTCACACACCCCATTTCTCATGAGCACTGAGAGGGAGGTACAAGTGAGGAAACTGAGACTCATAGAGACCAAGGGGCGTCTGATGTGGGCAGGGTTGGGGCCCTCTCTTAGAGGCCTTGGTGTGGTGGCAAATGGCAGACATGCACCCACCTGGAGGGTAGCAGTAGAGCAGGAGGGCCAATCCTACGGCCAGGCTGAGGCCAGCCAGGAAGCTTATGGGTCCTGGGAAGAAATGAGTGTGAACAGGGTCCTCCTGGGCCCACTGAGGTCCATACAGTGTGGGGATGTCAGGTTGGGGTGCTGCCTGAAGATTCCCCCCAGCAAGCACCTTAGGGGGTCTGTCACCAACAAAAGCGAGGAATGGAGCCCGATTTGGGAAAGAGAAGCCCCAGGGCAGAGATGGAGCCCTGGGTTGGGGAAGAAAAAGAGGGAGCAGGGAAGTGGGGGGGGGGGGCGTTACCCCTGTCACTCAGCTCGTTGCGCTTGCTGCCTGAGTCTAGCTCTGCACAATCTGAGTTCTCTGGAAATAAAACCACGAAGCATGGTTAGTCATGGGTCCAGCCAGAGAGTAAGGTGGTTGCCCCTGAGGGAAACCCAAGGCCAGTGCTGCTCTAGGACTGGGCTGGACCAGGCTGTGGCACCGTGAGGCCAGTGATCCTCAGGGAACTTGCATAGTCCGAGTCTTCTCCTTTGGTCCAGTTCCTGTGACTTCAAGGGCCATGGATGTGGGGAGGGCCATTGTTCCCCACTGTCCACAAGGCACCAAATGCAGCATGAACATCCCCTTTCAAGAGCCTGGCTGGTGTCAGGATGGCAGCTTTCTGGCCTGTGCAGCTGGGCAAGGGCTTTCTTCCTAGATCTCTCATGGCCTCTCCAGCCTACTGACCGGCAAGATGGGTCTAGGCGTACCTGGGAACCATGGAAAGTGCTCTGCCTCCAGCAGGTGTGTGGCTTGGCACCCCTGGAAAATCCCTGTGGAATACCCTTGCTGGGGTGAGAGGGCTGATCCCACGTGTTATCCCTCTGGGGTATGGTTCTCCCCTGCAGTCCTCCCCTGTCTAGCATCTACACTTCCTTCCACGAAGCCTGGGGAGTCCTCCTGGGGGTCAGGGACCCCAATGCAGGGTCCCAGCTGAGTAGCCTGGAGTGAACCACTCTCTCTCTGGCCTCTGTCCTATTGTCTGAATACCGAGGGGCAGTAGCTCCTCCTCCTGGAGCCCCAAGCACAGAGGCCCAAATCAGAGCTGCCATGCTAGCCTCACTGCACCTTTCTCGGTCCCAACAGCTCAGAGGACCCTGTGCCCTTGGGATCCACATATCTCTGGGGGCCTGAGGGCTCACTGCCCAGGGGAAGGGACCCTCTCAACTGAAATGCATCTGCCTTGGACAGGCATTGGGCCTGAGGATGCCCCTACATCAACACCCATCCATGTGTAGATCAGATGGAGTGAAAGATGGACACAACCTCAGCATGTGCCCTGGGGTACATGGGGTAGGGTAACTCCAGGTCAGGACCACCTAGGAGCACCACACAGCTGTGAGGTCAGAGATGCCACCCACATCTCATCACTACAGAATGAGGTAGAAAGGGAAGGGCAGGAGGAGATGCCGCCTTCTGTGTAAAAATTGATATGAGAGAGCGTCAGCAAGAGGGAGAGAGAGAGATGTCTGCGTTGCTTGCAACACCCTCCTTGGGAGGCCACAAGGTGGTCTGTGAGGAGGGGTAAAGGAAGGAGGAAGGAAGGCAGAGATACTAGGTCTGGGCCTCACTAGACTTGAGTGGGCACAGAGGATGTCCACACCACAGCCAGCAGGCCGGGGCATCCTTTCTGGATAGTGCTGAGCATGGGTGGCAGGGAATGTGGGACTTACGCAGAGTGTGGCGGCTGGGCAGGCAGCTGTGCAGGGGCTGGGCATGGATGTACAAGGCTCGGTAGAACTCCTGGCAGTCCCGCTCACCACTCTGTTGCAGGTGGCTCAGAAGGTCACAGAGCCGCACACGCAGGGATGCCTTGGGGTTTCGGAACTGGGGGTGCAAGGGGGTATGAGGGAAGATCAGGCCAGAGAGGGATGGCTGTGGGTCGGAGGCTCCAAGTTCAGGTCTCCCAGCCTCAGTCTCCTCATTGGGTGTTAGGATACCAAATGATGGCTGCACCTGTGATGCCACAGCCCCACACCCACACCCACATGGTGCCTGACACTGCTGCCCCCATGGGTATCACTGCTAATCCTCACACTCCCTGTAGGGTGGGAGGCAAGAAATCAAGCTGGGGAGCTTTGTAACCTCAATAAGTTGGTTCACCTCTCTGAGTCTTGGTTTCTGCATTTGTAAAAAGGGAATAAATAATCCACATGATAAGCTACTGGAAATTGAGGTGATAATGTGAATATTATTTTGAAGTCTACAGGAATGTGATTTGAGAATTTTAAAAATAAGGTGAGAAAAGAATTGGCTCTTTTGATGTGTTTTACAGAGAAATGTGTTGTTCTAAACTTAGTGGACATTGAGTACTTGGCATCAACCCCCCACCCCCACCCCTGACCAGGAAGCTATGGCCTGGTGTTGCCACCTGGTGGCAGCATACCATTCTACACTGCTACAGGGAGCTGGAGTTGAACTAGAAACTGCAGAAACTGCAAAGACAGATGGGCAGCAGGAGCCATTGTGCCTGTGAGGAACAGAATGTGTGCAAAAAAGTTCCCCTTTTTCTTATATAAATATCTGAAACTTTTCAAAATTAAAAAAAATGCAGGTATTATACTTCTACTTATAAAAAGATGAATTTGAGATCACAACTTTTTAAATTATTAGACTACTTTCATAATGTATGAAGCATAGGCCAGTAGTATGGCCTATGTTGACTCTTGTTCTGTCATGGACCAACCTCACCCATGCCAGCAGAGGTCCTAACCCTCAGAACAGCCCTACAGGTAGTATCATGATACCTATCTACCCACCTCTGCCAAGTGAGAAAATTGTGGCTCCAAGAGGAAAAAGGACTCACTCGGGGCCACTTAGTAGGGAGGCAGGGGGGCAGGACCTGGATCTCAAAGGCCTAGCATGTCTCTGGAACCTCCCATCTTCCCTTCTGGTCTCAGTGACAGCAGGTGGCTTGGGCTGGAGCCAGAGCCACAGGTGTGGGTGGAGTGGAGTGGGCAGGGTATGCCCAACTTTCTCATCCAGCATTCTAGAAATCTGAGGCCCTCAAGGGTCATTCAGCACTGGGGGTTTGGACCAGACTAGACCTCCCAGGACAAAGCCCATGAATTGTATCTTTTTTTTTTTTTTTTTTTGAGATAGAGTCCTACTCTGTTGCCCAGGTTAGAGTACAGTGGTATCAGCTTAGCTCACAGCAACCTCACACTCCTGGACTCAAGTGATCCTTCTGCCTCAGCCTCCTTAGTAGCTGGGACTATAGGCATCTGCCACCGTGCTATCTAATTTTTCTATTTTTAGTAGAGATGGGGTCTCAATCTTGCTAGTAGAGATGGGGTCTCAATCTTGCTCTGGTCTCAAACTCCTAACTCAAAGGATCCTCCAGCCTCAGCCTCTCAGAGTGCTGGCATTACAGGTATGAACCACCATTCCCATCCCAGGAATTACATCTTAAATACCATGATCAGCAGAGCATGTGGCTCTGAGAGGCCAGGGCCATGTGACACAGGGATAGCAGCTGCCCCTAGCACCTTCCTAAGTGACTGCCTTTTGGACCTCAGTGGCCTCCTCTGTAAAATGTGTAAATGACTATGACGACTCACAGTCCTGACGTAGGAAATCAGAGACCATCCAGGAAGAAAGACACCTGGATAGCTGTTTACCTAGTTCAGGTCACCCAGTCCTCACCCAACCTGAGAGCCCAGCACTCTCACTGCCCAATCCACAGATGAGGAAACTAAGGTTCCGAGTGGGACCAAGCCCCTTAGCACTTCTGAGACAGGGATAGCACCTGCCTGCCTGGTGTCTCTCCCCTGCCTACCTGTGACAGACTGGGCCTCCCAGCCTCACACACAACATAGGAGTTAGAGAAAGGAAGCACCTTTTTGCCTAGTTTGAACCTTTGGAAGATGCAGAGTGCAGAGCTCTGTGGCACCAGGGTGAGGCCAGGCCTGATCTTTGCTCCTCTTCCTCCTCAGCCCTCTCCCCTCGCCCCCCTCCTTCAACCATCTCTCTCTCTCCCCTCCCTTCTCAACCCTCCCTTTCCTTCCTGTCCTTTATCAGTCCTCCCTCGCCCCCACATCTTAACTGTTGTGTGTTTTTAGGTATTGTCACATGTCATTTTCTATAGCCCTCCCAACAACCCCGGGAGGAACAGCAGGCTCAATGACATGTGAAGAAACTGAGGCTCAGAGAGTTGATGTTTTGGGCCAATTGGTGGTCACCTCAAAGAGATCATTTGAAGCTCTGGCAGCCCTAGTGGCCGGGCCCAGGTATGTCACCTCTGAGCCTTCCTGACACACCTGTCATCTTGTGAGAGCATGACCCAGGGCTAGTCACCAAGTTCTTCCAGCCCAGAAAGGAAGGGAAACTGAGAAGTGTCTCACACCCCCCCTCACCTCCTCAGCACCTTTTCCGCCTCCTTGTTGGTAAGGATCTGTGGGTAGTAACGGTTCAGCTGGAGGATGATCCTGTCCACCTGATGCTCACTCAGGCGCCCTTGGCCAGTCAGGAAAGGCGTGTCCAGCACTAGGCGATCACAGTAGGTCTGATCTAAAACAGAAGCAGATTGAACAGGGGCATGAGCCAGTACAGCCCAAGGGGACCATATACAGTAGCCTCATGCTGATGCTGACCATAGGAGGCCCTTACATCCACCGGGGGGAGTCCACCTGAGGATCAGGGACATCTTAGCCCTTATGGTAGGCATTATACCTAGTAATGGTAGGAGCTGAAAGCTGCTCCTAGCCTGGCTGTCATAACAGAAGATGGAAGTAGGTGGGCATGGCAGGAAACCACCAAGATATGCTGAAAACTAGCCAGGAAGGGGCACACTTTCTGACTCCTTTTCTTTATTTAAGAGCTTATCACAGAAAATAAATTCAGAGGGTCTAAAGAATCCATTTTCCATGGGCTGCCTGCAGAGCCATCTGGAATCAATGAAGGTACAGGCAGCTTAGAGAAGGCCTGAACGTGGGCCCTGTAGCTCCTCACAGCAGTACAAACGGAGGACACAGAGCTCAGGGTGGCTCATGCTGGCATCACTGTGGGACACAGTCTGTCTGCAAAGCCTTAAGAAGCTTCTACCAACAATAAATCAACAAGCCCTCCTAGGGCTTTTTTTCTTTTGTCTTTTCTTTCAGAATCACTATGGTTCATTCTTGTTCGTCTTTCCCATTAAGAATGTTCCTTACGGCTCGGCGCTTGTGGCTCAAGTGGCTAAGGCGCCAGCCACATACACCTAAGGTGGCAGGTTCGAATCCAGCCCAGACCCGCCAAACAACAATGATGGCTGCAACCAAAAAATAGCCGGGCATTATGGCGGGTGCCTGTGATCCCAGCTACTTGGGAGGCTGAGGCAGGAGACTCGCTTGAGCCCAGGAGTTGGAGGTTGCTGTGAGCTGTGAAGCCACAGCACTCTACCTAGGGGGAACAGCTTGAGGCTCTGTCTCAAAAAAAAGAAAAGAATGTTCCTTAGAATGACAGACTTTTAAAGGTGAAGAGTAGAGTGAAGGTGGGAAGGCAAAGGGGCCTCGATGATAGAAGGATCCTCCATAGAGGATCTCACAGAAGCTGAACAAGAGGACTAAACAAGTGTCTCACCTTACATACCTGTGACAGCTCAACCTATTTCCCAATGTGGGGGTGGTGGTGATGGTGGAACTTGATAGAAATAGTTTGTATATATGGATGAAGTTAAGTTGGTATCAATTCAAATTAGTTTGTTATAACTTTAGGATGTTAAGAATTATACTAATGGTAAACATACAAAAACATTTATAGAATATAAACAAAAAATGAGAAGGAAATCTAAATGTGTTACTACAAAAAATCAGTAAGTGTGTACAGTAACATTAAACACAAAAGAAAGCAGTCATGGAAGAAATGAGGGTCAAAAAAGCTACAAGACATACAGAAAACAAATAGCAAAATGGTAGTAATAATTCATTTCTTATCAGCAATTACTTTACATAGGTTAAACTCTCTCTTTGTTAAAACTCTCTCTTTGTTAAACTCTCTCTCTCTGTAAAAGGCATACATTGGCAGAGTAGATTTTAAAAATACGATCCGACTATGTGTTGTCTACAAAGACTCACTTTAGATCTAAAAATATAAAATGGTTGAAAGTAGAAAAATGTAAAAAGATGTCTCATGCAAAAATAGTAAGCAAAAGAAAGCTGAGGTGGCTATACTAATGTCAGGCAAAATAGACCTTAAGTCAAAATCTATTAGAAGAGATTAAAAAGTACATTATGTATTAATAAAAGGATCAATTCATGAAGAATATATAATAATTATAAACATCTAGGCACCGAATATTAGAGCCACAAAATATACAAAGCAAACACTAGAAAGACTTGAAGTGAGAAACTGATACCTCTACAGTAACAGTTGAAAACTTTAATACACCACTTTCAAAAACAGAACAACCAGACAAAAGATCAATAAGCAAATAGAGAAATTAAACAATACCGCAAACCAATTATACCTAACAGACATGTACAGAATACTCCCTCCAACAACAGAGAATATACATTTTTCTCAAATGCACATGAAATATTCTCCAGGATAGACAGTAGAACAAGTCTAGATACAAAACAAGTCTTTGGCCACAAAACAAGTCTTAATATATTTTTAAAAAATTGAAATCATATAAAAATACTTTTTGATCACATGGAATGAAGCTAGAATTTAATAATAAAAAGAAAACAGAAAACTGTAAAACTCACAAATATGTGTAAATGAAACCACCAATAACTCAAAAAAGCAATCACAAGAAAAATTAGGAAATATCTTGAGACAAAAAAACAAAAAAGTACCCATACACAATACACCAAAACCTAAGGGATGCTGCAAAAGCAATACTGAGAGGAAAATTTATAACAAACTGCAAATGCATACATTAAAAACCTAAATCAGTAACCTAACATTATAACTTAAGGAATTAGAAAAAGAAAAAAATAAAGAAGAGAGCAAGGGAAGAGCAAAATAAATCTAAACCTCATAAGAGGAAAGAAATAATGAAAACTAGAATGAAGATAAATGAAATAGAGAATAACAAATGATAGAGAAAATAAAGAAAACCAAAAGTCATCTTTGATTAGAACAACAAAATTGACAAACATTTAGCTAGACGGAAGAAAAAAAAAGAAGGAAGACTGAAATTACTAATAATTAGGAATGAAAGTGAGGACATAGCTATCAAATTGATAGAAATAAAAAGGATTATAAGAGAATACTATGACATTTGTACACAAACTGGTCAAACTAGGTAAAAGTAAAATTCCTAAAAACATGCTGAAGTATGAAGAAGTAGAAAATCTGAATGGACCAATAACTAGTAAGGAGATTAAATCATCAATGTCCCAACAAAGAAAAGCCTGGGACCAGATGGCTTTGTTGGCAAATTCTACCAAACATGTAAAGAAGAACTAATACCAATCCTTTTCAAACTCTTCTAAAAAATCTGAAAAGGAGGACATACTTCATAACTAATTGTGGTCAGCTTTACCCTGATACCAAACCAGATGAAGATACTTTAAGAAGGCTCTGCGCCTATAGCTCAACCAGCTAAGGCGCCAGCCACGTACACCTAAGGTGGCGGGTTCGAATCCCCAGCCTGGACCCGCCAAACAACAATGATGGCTGCAACCAAAAAATAGCCGGGCGCTGTGGCGGGCGCCTGTGGTCCCAGCTACTTGGGAGGCGGAGGCAAGAGACTTGCTTGAGCCCAGGAGTTGGAGGTTGCTGTGAGCTGTAATGCCATGGCACTCCACCCAGGGGAAAGCTTGAGGCTCTGTCTCAAAAAAAAAAAAAAAAAAGATACTTTAAGAAAAGAAAACTACAAGCCAATATTCCTTACAAATGGAGGTGCAAAAATCCTCAACAAAATATTAGCAAACCAAATTTAGCAGCATCTTAAAAGGATTATACACCGATTTTTTTTCTTGAAATGCAAAGAGGGTTCAACTTGCAAAATCAATCAGAATAATCTACCACCTTAATAGAATGAAGGAAAAAATGTACGATCTTCTCAATTGATGCAGAAAAAGCATTTGATATAATTCAACATCTTTTCTTGATATAAACATTCAATTAATTAGAAATAAAAGGTGCTATGGTTTGGATGTGTCCCCCCAACAAGCACGTGTTGGAAACTTAATCCCCAATGCAACAGTATTGGGAGATAGGGTTACAGATCTTCAGTCATGAGGACTCCACCCTCTTGAATGGATTAATGTCAATTATAAAAAGGCTTCAACTGTGAGTTCATTGTTTTCCTCTCTCTCTCCCTTTCACCCTCTCTTGCTTCTCTCTTTCTGTACCAAGATGATACCAGAAGACCTTCACCAGATGCTGGCCTCTACATCTTGGACTTCTTAGCCTCCAGAATCACAAGCAATAAATTTCTGCTCATTATAAATGACCTATTTCAGGTATTCTGTTATAGCAGACCAAGATAGAAGGAAACTTCCTTAACATGACAAGCCATACAGTCAGCACTCTCTATCCATGGATTTAACCAACCACAGATCAAAAATATTTCTTTAAAGCCTAATACAATAATAAAAATAACACAAATAAAAATCCAGTATAACAACTATTTACACTGTATTAGGTATTATAAATAATATAGAAATGATTTTAAATATATGGCAGGATGTGCATGGGTTATATGCCAATACCATTTTATATAAGACACTTAAGCATCCTCAGATTTTGTTAACTGAGAGGCATCCTGGAACCAATCCCCCACAGATATTGAAGGACATTTGTGTATGAAAACCCAAAGGCAACATCATACTGAATGATAAGAAAACTGAAGGCTTTTCTTTTAAGGTCAGGAGCAAGACAAGGATGCTTGCTTTTGTCACTTCTATTCAACATGGTATTGGAAGTTACAGTGAGAGCAATTAGGCAAGAAAAAGAAAGTATAATAAAAGTCATCCAACTTGGAAAGGAAGAAGTAAAAACATGTCTGTTCACAGATGACATGATCTTTTATATAAATAACCCTAAAGCCTTCTTTAAAAAACTGTCTGAGCTAATAAATGTAGGCAGCAAGGTTGCAAGATGCAAAAATCAACACGCAAAAATCAGTTTCATTTCTTTTTTTTTATTAAATCATAGCAGTGTACATTTAATACTATCATTGGGGTACAGTGTACTGTTTGTATATACAATTTGAAATTCTTTCATCCAACTGGTTAACATAGCCTTCATGTCTTTTTCTTAGTTATTGTGTTATGACATTTATATTCTACATTTAGATAGATTCACATGTACCCGTGTAGGATGAACCATAGGCGAGAACCCACCAATCACCCTCCCTCCACCCACTCTCCCCCTCCCCTTTCCTCCCTCTCCCCTCTCCCCATATTCCTAGGCTAAAATTGGGTTATAGCTTTCCTATGAAAGCTATAAATTAGTTTCATAGTAGGGCTGAGTACATTGGCTTTTTCTTCCATTCTTGAGATACTTTGCTAAGAAGAATATTTTCTAGCTCCATCCATGTAAACATGAAGGAAGTAAAGTCTCCATCTTTCTTTAGG